AATAATGCAAAGAGACGACTTCTCTTTAAAAACATTTGCAGATTTCTATTAAACTGCGAGGTCCCCGGTGTCTGTGAAGTCAGCTGTTTCACAAGAACCTGAATACATGCTGTATTTCCAATTTCTTGCCCTTCTGCTCTGCCATCCTCCTCTGTGCCCTGTCCCACAGATCCGTGAAACATGGACAAGCAACTTGCCTGCTTTCCCATAGGTGATGAGCAGACGAAATGGGAAGAAAATCCAGGCCCCATATTAAAAATCAAGTTGAAGGTCGACCCTATCTCTAAGACTAAGTCTTTTATTTTTTCACTGAAGGTTCTAAGAGAAACAAAGAAATTGTAAATGCGACCTGTGTGTTTGTTATCATCAAAATCGGATGAGTCAGATGATTGTCAAGAATTGATCAAGAACTGGTCAAGCTTGCAAGCTTATCTTATGTGGCATCTGCATAAGCTCCAGCCTGTGCCATGCACCCTGGAAACCCCCAGACAAGCGCCCCCGCCCCCATCTCCCCATGGCACTGAACTCCTCAGCAACGTTTCTCAAGCAAATCACCCAGCTGTTGCCATCATTCCCACGTGACACCTTTGCTGTCCTCACCCGTGGCTGTTTAGGGACCGGGGAATGAGTCTGACACAACTGGCTGTCCTGGGCTCCCCACTCAAATGGCATCTTTTCTGCACCCAAATTGGAGAAACAGAACGCGGCTGGAGCATCATTACCAGCAAGACTTGGTAGTGTCATGTGTCTGCTAGTAGCATTTTAAAAATTAGGTTTTTTTTTTTTTGCCATCGCAATTCTCTGAGCACTATTAATAAGTCATATGGAAAAGCAATACAGACATCTGACAAAGAGCAATTAAGGTTTCCAGTGCATTTGGGTGAGGATCCCAGCAGGCCAACAGAAGCAAGAAAAGGCAGATCCAATCCTGAATTCTTGTCATTGACGTAAAAAAAACCCAGGTTTTTTGGGGTGGGGGGCAGCGTGGAGGGGAGTGAGTGGGACAGAGTCTAATGGAAAACTCACAAATGAAACTAGCAACCGTCAGAACCCAGTGAACACACAGCATCCTAGGTAGGTCCAACCATCCTTGGGAGATTTCTTATTTCCTATCTAAGACCAGAAGTATAACCAAGCAGGACTTTATGGCAGGTGGGGGCTGCCTGCTTCTTGTTCATAGAAAAACTTCAGCCTTCTAGGCTTTCTCTGAGTTCCGAAGAATAAATTTAATCAGAGAAGCGAGAAAATGCGACAACAAAGGAAAATCGTCAAGCAAGACAAATGAATAACAGTTTCACCATTAAACAAAGTCAGAGACACTTGGCTCCTCCTCAAGGGCTGTGGATAATATTCCGAACCATGTTCTTAGAGCTCTTTTGCAGATACTGAAACCCTCACCAGGTGGGAGAAGTTAATTGCATGCTGGCCACAGCACGTAGACCCCATACAGGTTGGAACGTGAAAGTTGTTGATACTGACTCCCAATTACCTCACCACCGACCCATCAGAAGCTTGTCCACAAGCTGGTCACATACCCTGCAATCCTCTCCCTTGTCTTGTCTTTAAAAATCTTTCCCTGAAAGCCACTGAGGAGCTTGAGCCTTTTAAGCACTAGCTCCTGGGCCCCTTGCTGGGAGCCCTGCAGTAAACACTGCACTTCCCTTCACCACCACGTGGTGTCAGTAAACTGGCTTTCCTGCATGGTGGGGGGCAAGCAGACCCAAGTGTGGTTCAGTAACAAAAGTGCTGTCCTGGTTTTGGTGTTTGACGATGACCCCACTTCGGATAATGTCCCGTTGAGACTGGATATTTCTTTCAAAGAGATGCTCCTAAGGGACGGTCTGCTTTTGAGGCTTGGATTTCTTTTAAGTGAAAGTGAATGTGTGGTAGTCATGTTTGTTTGCATTCACCCACAGCTTTGAGAGTCCTGGACACTCGGCCTGAAACCTTGCAAATTCAGCTGGAATTGGGCAGTCATACCACGGCTGAGGAACAAGCAGGGCCGCCTAGCAAGATCACTGATACCAGGAGACAGCCTCCCACAAGGAAAGCTATTACTCCCTGCTTCCTCTTACTTTAAATTTGAGTTACGTTAGAGCTGTGGAAGTCCTAGCAATGCAAAATGTGCACCATGCCTCTCAGCTGCAGAGTATAAAATGGGGAGAACCCTGCTCAGGGCCAATCTGGAGTCTCTTGTTATAGGCTAATTTGGAGGGGGTGGTGTGGATATTTTCCATGCTTTAATGGTGATGTCTGCTATTGGTGGGAATGTAGTCACTATGGAGAACAGCATGGAGGTTCCTTAAAACACTAAAAATGGAGCTGCCATATGATCCAGCAATCCCACTCCTGGGTATATATCCAGAGGAAACCATACTTTGAAAAAAAACTCTTGCACCCCAATGTTAATTTCAGCACTATTGCCAATAGCCAAGACATGAAAGCAACCTAAGTGTTCAGTGATGGAAGAGTGGATAAAGATGTGATATATATATATTTATATATATAGATTTATTATTTTTATTTATTTATAATATATTTATATATATTTATACTTATTATTATATATATTATATATAAAACACAGTGGAATATTACTCAGCCATAACAAAGAATGAAATAATTCCATTTTCAGCAACATGGATCGACCTAGAGGTCATTATACTAAGTGAAGGAAATCAAACAGAGAAAGACAACTACCATACAATATCACTGATAAGAGGAATCTAAAGAAATGATACAAATGAACTTGTTTACAAAACAAAACTCACAAACATGGAAAAGGAAGTTGTGGTTGACAAAGGGGGGTGGTGGAGTGGGAGGGCTGCATAAGGAGGCTAGGGTTAACATCCACACAAGTGTAAATAGAAAACCAACAAGGGCCTCCCGTGCAGCACAGTGAACTCTACTGCATGCTCTGTAATGCCTATATGGGAAAAGAATCTGAAAAAGAACATATATAGATGTATAACTGGGCTTCCCAGGGGGCTCCAGTGATACAGAACCTGCCTGCCAATGCAGGAGATGCAAGAGACGTGGGTTTGGTCCCTGGGTTGGGAAGATCCCCTGGAGGAAGGCATGGCAACCCACTTCACTATTCTTGCCTGGAAAATCCCATGGACAGAGGAGCCTGGTGGGCTACAGTCCATAGCGTTGCAGAGTCAGACACGACTGAAGTGACTTAGCATGCACGCATATGTATAACTAAATCATTTTGCTATACACCTGAAACTAACACAACATTTTAAATCAGACATACTCCAATTAAAAAATAGCTATGTCTGCATCAAAAAGAGAAGTTCCTGTAATTAAGATTAAGAAGCTACATGGAGCCTTGTGGGAGAAGCCAGAGGAGGTGGTGAAGTTGTCTCCTTGAAACTCTGCAACTGTTTAGTTTCTGGCTCAAGAAGGTGAAAGAATTAGGTTAGCTCTAGAAACCACCAAGTCTTAAGATATTGTGATGCTGTGAAGTTCAGATTTTATATCACAAGTTTTGAGCCTATTTTATCCTACATCAGATGAAAATAATATAAGTGCCTCTGTCGGATTGTTTACACGCCCTGGGACTTATGTGTTAATAAGACGGTGAACATGATGGTGGAAGGCCTGGTATGTACAAAGTGCTCACAGATGCTAGGTATGATTATTCTTATTTCTAAAGATAAGGTCACCAGACTTAGAAGTAAGAAACCAACATAAGAAATATAAGAAAATAATATATGAAGTCTTTGATTGTCTTACTCAGACCACGGGCTGCTTTGAGACTCAAATGAGATCATGTACGTAAAAGCAAGGCTTCCCTGGTGGCTCAGTCGGTAAAGAATCCACCTGCAATGTAGGAGATCGCCTGCAATGCAGGAGGCTTGGGTTCCATCCCTGGGTCAGGAAGATCCCCTGGAGAAGGAAATGGCAACCCACTCCAGTACTCTTGCCTGGGCAATCCCAGGGACAGACGAGCCTGGTGGGCTACATGACTTAGGGACTGAACCATAATCATAGCCATGGAAAAGCACAGATGAATGAGTGAAATACATGCCTATAATATTTCTATAAACAGCATGCAGCATTCTCTCACCTTTGCACAGGGTCACACCCTTCAGATCTTTTCCTTCTCATTTTCTTCTGTGTGATTTAAGGAAAATCCCCTGCCCATAATATGTGAATGATGTGTATTCCCATTGATTATATTCAGGAGTCAGCTCCCAAGTGCTTCTCCCACGAGGGGGGCTCCCAAGGGACGTTGTGGCCGCAGCCCACGGGGGGCGTGTGGTTTTGGCCTTGAATCTGATCCATCCAGTTCTGGGTCCTTCTGTAACTGGGAGGGCTTAGTTGTATTTGGAAAATCAAACAGCCTAACAGTTCATCCAATGACCATGAAGGCTTTTACTTAAAAAAAAAAAATTATTTCTTTTTTCCCCCTTTAAAAAGTATATTTACTTTGACTTATTTATTTGACTGGGCTGGGTCTTAGTTGTGGCCTGTGGGATCTAGTTCCCCTACCAGGGATCAAACCTGGATCCCCTGAATTGGGAGCACTGGGTTTTAGCCACTAGACCACCAGGGAAGTCCCAACACCTCTACTTTGAACGCCTCTGGGGCGCTTTGTTTTTGTAGAATTTGGGGCTGGCCTGGGGAAAGACATGGTCATGGTTTCTTGGGGACTGGGCCACGTTCTAGAACCTTCCTGGACTCTTCAGAGGCGATGACTTGGAAACCAAGACCTGAGCTCCCCCTGGTCCCTTCTGTGGGGTCTGTGTGTGAGCAAGGGGTCTTCTGCAGGGGCTCCTGGTCCCTAACTCTGCCCACCTTTCACACAGGGCAGGGCTGGTCTGGTAAAGCCCCATCCTCATCCAAGTCACTGTATTCCCAAGAGAAGTCTCTCCTTATAGGTTAGACTCTCCCAAGTCAGGAGGACCAAGCCTTGATCAGATGAGACCTCTGACTTCTGTCCTCTGACCCTAGATGCAATAGGTGTAGTCTCTGCCCATCAACCACAGGACTCAGCGCCGGGGGGACGTTCTCAAGGACGTATCGATGAACTCTTTGCCCACCAGGTCACCAAGTTTCCCCTGACTGGGAGCAACAGAAAGAGCCTCTGACTCGTCCAGGGGCGGGAGGGCATAGTCATCAGACACTGACAGCGGGGGACTGCTGGTGTCTAGCAAGGCTGTTCTTTCCTCCTCCGTCGTAAGTAGCTGGCGGCATCGAAGCAGGAGGTGGCCGTCCAGCGGGGGACCAACATCCCGGCCCCAGGCTTCCTGCAGGTGCGACCCGTGCGTGTGAGCGGCAGTTCCACCTGTCACCGCTGGGCTGCGCTGCAGGACCTAGCAGCTCATCCTCCCCTCGCTCCCTCCGCCCCGGGCTCCAGCAGCTTTGTTCCAAGTGGCTTTGGGACACGCGTGGAGCTGAGCGTGGCCGGGAGGCCGGCAGCGAGCCACACTGCCCCTTTGCAGGGAATGGGTTTCAGCTTGGCTTGAGCCCTTGGTTCTGTGTTTTACCTGTTTCACGGTGAAAAGTGAAAGTGCAAGTCGCTCAGTCGTGTCCAACTCTTTGCGACCCCGTGGACTATACAGTCTATGGAATTCTCTAGGCCTTAACCCACATCGGAGAAGGCGATGGCACCCCACTCCAGTACTCTTGCCTGGAAAATCCCATGGATGGAGGGGCCTGGTGGGCTGCAGTCCATGGGGTCGCACAGAGTTGGACAAGACTGAAGTGACTTCGCAGCCACCCTCATCAGTTCAAGGATGGTGATTCAAGAGAGAGGAAAGTGAAAGTGAAATCGCTCAGTCGTGTCAGACTCTTTGCCATCCCATGGACTGTAGCCTATGAGGTTCCTCCATCCATGGAATTTTCCAGGCAAGGGTACTGGAGTGGGTTGCCATTAACAGCTAAAGACTGGAGGAGGCGGAGACAGCTTTGGAAGCCTCCAGCAGTGGGATCTGTAGGGTCTGTCGCGGCTCAGATCCCTTCCTGAACACTGCCGAGCCCCTTCTGGTTCCAGTTTCAGATTCCTGTGAGATGATGTGACCTGCCGAGTTTGGGTCTGGGGAACTCCCTGGCCAGGAAGGCAGGGTCATCACAGAAGTGTGAGCGCTGAGGTGCCCCACATCTCTGTACGTCCGTTTCCTCTGGAAAAGAGGACCACTGGGCACTCTCGTTTCTTATACCAAGTATGTGCCGGAATCAGACGAGGCCAGGAACGCAGGGAGGGCCAGGAATCTGGATTTTGGGGAAGAAGACCGGCGATTGAATAGACACAGTTTGAAGAGGTGAGAGCTATACCCGAGGTTCTCATGGGCTATTCTCAGAGCTGATGGCACCAGAGGAATTCGCTTAGGGAGCTGCGCTGTGTCAAAGGCAGGGATTCTGTTGTGGAAGGCATCCACCTGACCTGAGATGATACAGCAGCTCTAGCTGGTGGCCTAGAGCAAGTCAAGGTCAATTACCCCTCTGAGCATGCTTCCTCATTTGTAAATGGAGATGATACACAGCCTGCTTGCTAGGGCAGAGGTCTGCTGTGCTGGCCTGAGGAGCAGAGAGGGCAGGAAGGAAAGGAGATTGTTCTGCCTTGACTGTAAGCAGCTCCTTTCCCCCTTTCCTGCTTGTCTATTTCTGTTCCCCTTAAACCTTAACCATATAAATGAGATTGCTAGTTAACGTTTTGGGAGACCCGGGTTCCATCCCTGGGTCAAGAAGATGCTCTGGAGAAGGGAAAAGCAAGTCACTCCAGCATCCTTGCCTGGAGAATTCCATGGACAAAGGAGCCTGACGGGCTATAGTCCATGGGGTCATAAAGTGTTGGATAGGACTGAATGACTGACACATTCACTTTCTTTCTGGTAGCATTTAACCAAACTCCTGATTTTTGCTTTACTACATTTATGCCTCAGCTAACCTGTTGATTCCTTTTCTGAATTAAAAGGAGTAAGAATGAAGAATTAAGAAAATAAAGACTGGGGACTTCCCCGGTGATCCAGTGGTTAAGGCTTGGTCTTCCACTGCAGGAGGTACAGGTTCAGTCCCTGATTGGGGAGCTAAGATCTCACATGCCTCATGGCCAAAAAAACCAAAACATAAAACAGAAGCATATTGTAAAAGATTAAATAAAGACCTTAAAAATGGTCCACATTAAAAAAATTTTTTTAATGTTAAAGAATGACTGACTTTCTATCCCCACTTTCCCCTTAGCAAATCTGCAGGAGGACCACATGGGCCAGAGAAATCCAAAGGAAAACAAGAGAAGCTGGCAGTCTGCACATGATGGAAAAATGACGAAGATTCTGATGTCATGCCTTAATGATGAACTGAAATTGTTTTCCCCTTTTCCCTTAAAAAATTGTCAGGGTTGAGCAGAATCTTTGGAGGTGGCCTCTGGACAGAAGTCCACCTTCCCCCCAGATGGACTTTTCTAAATGAAGCATCTGTCCTTTCTACTGACACTTATCCTTGCTTATTGGCTTTTGAGCAGAGAACAGCCGAACCTGAGTTTCATGTGTCGATTTGACTGGTCTACAGTGCCTGGTTATTCACCCCAACAGTATGGTTATTTGTGAGTTGATATTCCTCGTCGCCCAATTGTCTGTAATGAATCTGTTGTCAAAGGCTATTCTTATGTGATCTGGACGCCATCTGTGATAGTTCCATGTGTCAATTCGGCTGGTCTACATTGCCTGGTTATTCAACCCCACGGTAACCCAGGTGTTGTTGTGAAGGGATTTTGTAGATGGAGTTCACATCTATAGTCAGTTGACTTTAAATAAAAGAGATCATGTGATTATTCTTGTTAATCTAGGTGGGCCTCGTGCAATCAGTTGGAATGTCTTCGAGGCAAAACCAAGGTTTCCCCTAGAAAGAAGAAATTCTGCCTCTAGCCTGCAGCCTTGATTCCTGCCCAAGAGTTTGTAGCCTGCTGGCCAGGCATACGGATCTCAAACTTGCCAGCCCCAAGAGTATGAGCCAATTCCTGGACTGCATCTCTTTCCCCCTCTACATAGAGATGAAATACCTCTCTACACTGCCCCCTTGTCTGTACAGACCTAGCCATCCATCTGTCTTTATCTGTATCTATCTAATCTATCCATCTACTAGAAAAAGACACACACGCGCGCACGCGCACACATACACACATCCCCTGCTGGTTCTGCTTCTCTGGGGAACGCTGACCAATATTCCATATCTTTGTGTCTTGTCCTATTCAAATGCACACTGGCCAGGGAAAGTTTAAGCAGCTCTTCATCAGAAGGTGGGACCGAGGTGTTGGCCCTGGAGGAGACGTCTGCCTTCTCAACACCCAGCAGTGGCTGGTTGGGCAGCCACAGAGAGCCCCAGGCAGTCACCGGTTGATTTCCAAACTCTCCTCATTTCTGGGCAAATGATCCTTTATTCCCACATGGTTCCTCTTGCTGCTGCTTCCTATTATTTATTCCTTTTTATATGACCCTTTTCCTTCTCCCTCTGAGGACTTGTTTCTGATGTATTGCTTGTATATTCTTTCATTTTGGTTTGTGCTGTTGTAGATTATATAGTAGAGAGCATGTAGTGCTTCAATGTACATCAATGGAATGGAGTTGTTTCCTTCTTTCTTTTTTTTTCCAAACGCAGCACTGTGTTTGCACCATCTCTTCCTGTTGGTCTGCGTACTTCTGGCCTGTTGATTCTAATTGCCACAGAGTGTTCCATCGTGGGTGTCTGCCACATTTATTCTATCTCTCCTCCTCCCAAATGGACACAACCACTACTCAAGACAGCCGCATTCAGGCACTTTGAGAGCGTCTCTGTGATCTATACCCAGGAACAGACTTGCTGGGCCGCAGAGTATTTGAGTGTTAAGCCTAAGCCCTCTGAGAATGGTCCCCAGGAGGGTTGCACCCTCTACATGCTCACGAACACTGCCGAGGGTCTCCACATCTCCACACCCTGGAAACCCACCGGCTTTATCCAGCTTTCTAATTGTTGCTAAGCTGATAGATGTTAAGTGATGGAGCCTTGTTGTTTAATCTGCATTTCTCTAGTTACGAGCATCTCTCGTGTGTCTCCAGGATTTCCTGTGTGTGAGCTGACTGTGGCTATTGATCACTTTCTTTGGGGGTTCCTGACTTTTTCTGGTAGATTCTTTTATTTGTGGGAGTTCTTTGAAGATTTTCAGTGTTAATCCCTTGTTAGTTTTAAATGTTATAAATACCTCTTCTTGTTTGGTTAACTTGTTAACTTTCATTGCACAAAAATCCTTAATTTTGAGGTTTTCAAATCCATCAATTTTTTTTTTTTTACCTTATGCTTTTTAGATTTTGTTTAAGAAGTCCCTTTCTAGCCCTGGGTCATACACCTATTGGCTTCTGTTATTGTCTGTTTATATTATCATTTTATCTTTCACATAGACTCCGAATGGTATTTAGTTCATCTGGAGTCTGTCTTGAAATGTTGGGTTAGGTAAAGATCCAGTTCTGTTTTTCTTAATCCGGTGAGCCAACTTTCCCAACACTGTATATACAAAGAGTGTGTTCCTGTTTTCTTTTTAATTTCTGTTTATTTATTTTTGGCTGTGCTAGATCTTTGCTGCTTTTCGAGGGCTTTTTCTGGTTGCTGGGAGCAGCGGCTTCTCTTGTTGCAGAGCGGAGCCTCAGGAGCTGTGGTGAAAGGGCTTAGCTGCTCTGTGGCATGTGGAATCTTCCCAGACCAGGGATCGAACCTGTGTCCCTGCATTGGTAGGCAGACTCCTATCCATTGTACCGCCAAGGAGGTACCCTGATCCAGCGTAACTGGTGGGGCTGTAAAACCCCTGATTATCCACAGGACTCTCTCTCAGCCCTTTTTCCCTGCCTGTAGCCTGCTTGTTCTCTCATGTGCTGCCCTGATTGTGTTACTGTAGATTAGCAGTGTATTTGGTGGGCAGGTCTTTCCACTTTATTCTTCATTTCCAAAGTTGATTTAATTTTCATGAGGTTTTTTTTTTTTTTGGTCTAGAATGCTTTGATAAAAACTGGATAGATTCAGAGTCTTATAAAGTGTGTGCAGTATGAAGAATAAAAAAAAATAGGAGACGCAGCAAGGTACTTACTCCTAGTTGATAAAATGAAACATTATCTTTGAGGCTTCCAGTGCACTGTTCCACAATCCACGCCTGCAGCCCTACTGTCTGACAGGAGCTTTCTCTGGAACCCTCTGTGTATCATTCCATTGCTTGTCTTGGGAGTTTGGGTAAGGACTAGGGTTTGTTTCAGTTTGAATCCTATGTTTTTAGCTTGGAATTTTCCTT